CTCTACCATCTTTATAACAGATCTTGTGTTGATAGAAATATTGAGATGTGCCAAGTCTGAATGGAATCGGATGTTAATTTCGCGTCTTAGAAGCTTCATAGATATTCAATTTTGATCCTTTGTGGGGGAGGTAGCAGAAGGAGTGGACCGATATATCCGATCTTCACACCAGACCTTGGGTTTATAAAAATATTGTTATGTGTGTAATTTGTTTATCGAACTGCCACATCACATTTTATAGGAGTTAGAATTATTCAAAATGTTTACCCTTTGTGGGGGAAGTACTTGATGGAGTGGACCGATATTGTCCATATTCGCACCCGACATTGCACTGATGCAAATATTAGGATTTCCAGAGTTGGTGCAAAATCGGATTATCCGTTCTCTTTCTGTGCAGAAAACATTTTCTTGAAAATGTCTACCTTTTGTGGCTGAGGTACCAAAAGGAGTGAACCGAAATTGCCCATCTCCGAACTCGATCTAAATTTCTGGTCTGATTTCTCTGATTTCAAATTAGGAAAACTTTTCAAATTTTCGTTAAAAAATCCTATCAATTTCCCTTTTTTTTTTTAAAGAAATCGCTAAAAACGAACAACTGTAAATCGGTTCATTCCATAAAAGCTCAAGGAGCAGAGCTTTTAACTGTTAACATATTTATCATCACACACAATCTTACAAAACACCCCCTCACGGTTAGACATGCGCCTCTTCCCACAAACATTCTTGAAGGGCGGCAGAATGTTTGGCGCCTGGCATCTGACATACCAAACAATAACAACAACCAATTCCGGACATTCCATCTGTCATCTTCATCATCCTCAGCATCGTTATGATATGAATATTCCGCTATTGTGATGGAATCCTTTCAAGCCTAAAGTACTTCCGCCTAACATTGTGTTGAGAACAATTGCGAACATGTTTTATGAAGACATTAAGAGCTACTTTCAACAAATAAAGACAATATTAACGGAAATGTAGATACGTGGAAGGGGGAAAAGTAGGTTAAGGGACAAATGTCAATTGCAAAAATGGATAATACAACATAAAATTAAGAGGGAGTGTATTGTTGTGGGAATACATTTACAATGAACAGGAATCAATTTCAAATCGCTAAAAAATTAATATAAAACAGTGTTCAAACAAAGAAACCTTTTACAGATGTTTTCAAAACGCTGTGAAGAAAAAGTATAAAACGTAAGCCCCAACCACATGATCAAAACAGATAAAAATATTGTGCTGAAATTGGTTAAAACTAAAAAGTACCTCGCACTTTCATTGTTTGAATGTTTGTAGGGGGAATTCTTTGGTTTCTAAAAAGCTCTTAAAATATTGATGATCACTCTATTGAATATGTATTTATAGTTGGGGAACCTCTTTTGCTATTAGACGTCTAAAAGATACTGATAAGAATATTACAACACAAGTTCATTTATATATATTCAAATGAGTGAGTTTAGTTTATTGAAAAGTATAAAAACCTTTGATGCAAACTAATCGCCATCAGTTGCAGTTTGAAAGCCTCCAAGACAACTTGTGGAACAACATCTATTCAAAATGAAATTCCTTATTGTCATTGCGATCGTCGTTGCTCTCTTTGGTGCCTTGATCGGAGCCAATCCTCAAAGAGCGAGAGCACAAACATTACTCTACTATCCACCACCCACAAGGCCACCACGTCCAATTCTTGTCTAAAATTTGAAAAGGCTCTCAACATTTTTCAAAAATACCTTGAGACCCTATTGACAATGGCTTTGAAGAAATAAATAAATTATATTGTAATTCTAATAAACAATATATTTGAAGAATACAGTATTGCGTTGCTTTTTTCTTTCTTTCCCGGTTTGGGATGTATTTTCAATTATTATTTCTCCTCCATGCCGTTAATGTTTATAAAATAAAAATCTTCATTTATATGTTTTAAAGTTTTATATTTTTATTATTTTTTTTTTTTTTTTTTTTTTTTTTTTTTTTGATTAATTTATTGTTTATATCTTAAGCCAATCAAAAATGGGGAGGCAGACTATTTTGACGATATTCGTAGTTTTCGGTTGTGGCTTGTTGTATATAAAAATTGTTGTTTTTGTTATTTTTTCATGTAAACATCGTTCATCACTTATTTCCAAGAAGAAAACCATTTGAATTAAACAATTAAGAAGAAGAAAAACAAAAGAGTATCTGATGCCGGTTTCTTTCTTGAACTATGGAAATCTCCAATGAATATTAAATATCTCTTAAAAAGAAAACAAAAATTTCGTAAAGGTTGCTGTTGCTTTAATGTTTGACGTTACAGGAATGGGGGGAAACTGGCTGGCTGGTTGGTTGGTTGATAGGCGTCTAAATTCATATCTATGACAATTTCTTGGCTTTCTGATAGAGAGTATCAACAACTTTGCCCATGTTCTGTATGGTCTCTAGAACACGTTCGTATGTCTTGTCGGTGGGAGTCTCTTCGAAAACAATTAAAACTCCTTCGCCCTGATCCAAGATGCCCAAGAATTTCTTATCCAAAATCATTTGTGACAATTTCTTCTCTACCTGTGGCATGGGCAATTTAATGCATTCAGCTACATGGGAGACCTAAAAAGAAGTTTTCAATTCAAATTATATGCCTACACATTTTATTCTTCAATCTACTTACTTGTACACGAGAATAGGGTTCAATAATGCGACACAGATTCTGTTCCAACATGGTGTCATAGAGGGTACCCAAGTGAGCCTTAACTATAACATCTTCAGCCAATTCCTTGTTGTAATCCTTCAGTGCCTGTTGGAAGTCGGCCAATGAACGTTTGTGTGAGGCCTCTGCAACTGATTTCATGGCATCTATATCACGTCCGGAATATGTAATTGCCTGCAAATAAATAAATGCACTATTTATACTAAATTGCGTTGTGAGTGTATCTTGCGTTACTCACCAATTTTCCGCTAACAATTTGATTAACATCATCCGATTTGCCTAACATAATTTTGCACAACAACATATATTTGAGAGCGGTCAAAGCCTTATTGTTGTCCACACTATCGAAACCTTCAAAGGCCTCATAGAAATAGGAAAACGCTGTCTTGAAGTCACGTTCATCGGCGGCATGCAGAATACCCGATTGTAGATCCAATGAGGCCTGTACTTTGGGAGGACAATAAATGGCATTTGCTGTGGTACGGGCAGATGTTAGAGCAGCACGAGCTTTGGGCAGATTGCTTAAAGCATGATAGGTTTTACTTTCCAGCAGTTGAACCTCCACCAATAGATTTTATCATCCAATTTTTTCAATTCTTTTAGAAGCTGAGAGCCCAACTGCAGTGCATCTGTATACATGCCAGTGTCGAAATAGAGGGCAATCAAACGGGCCTCCAAACTCTGACGAAGGAAGGTGCGTTTCTCTTGTTTGGCCCATTCAATGCAATCCTTACACAATTGAACCTTTAAATAGAAGATTTAAGAAAGGGCGGATAATCATAAGTTTTTAAATTTTAAGCATAGACTACACAAAAACGCGTAATTTTCACAAAATTAGAAAGTACAGGACTCAAATTCAGAATTTATAAAGAAATTTAACGAAACATAATTTAACTTTGAATTATTTAGTGCTCCCGATTCTCTAGAGTGTGTATTTCAATCTTTGTTGAATCTACGCAACCTCATTGTTTACCTTGTCTACCAATACAAGGACAACACACGCACAAAGCAAATTGATCGCAACGCAAATTTTACACAATCAGTCCGTTGACGTTCTGGAAGTTAATTTGTCTCCCCTTAACTTACCTCAATACCGGTGCCAGCATCCATATCCAGGAACATATCGACCAAAGATCTGACCAACTTTGCTGCCTTTGCCTTGCTTATCAAACTAAGGAAGGGGCGGGTAACTTTAATCAAATCGGCCAGCTCCTTGGCTTTGCCCTCCTGTTTGTAGAGTTCACCCAGCTGCAGAATGCCCTGTTCCTTGATGCGAATGAGTTCTTCATCATTTTCGGCAACTTCTTGCTCTCTGATGATTTTGTTTAACAATGAAATGCCTTCCTCGCGGTTGACAGTTGACAGAGCTTGTGCTCTTTCAAACAAAGTAGCTCCGGCCATATTTATTTTGCTAACAAAAAAAAATTTGCAAAACCAAAATGAGTTTATTTTTGAAGATTTTTCTATTTCCTCCGAACGACGACTGACTTACCGTTGATTAAAAAACTTGTTCTTGATTTAATTTCGCTCAAATTTCTAGAACTCCTCTATGAAATGAATTTATTATAATCACCTCTTTTAACAAAAATTCGCTTTTTATTATTGGTTTTTGCCAGTCATAATAGGGATCTGTAGTTTGATTATAAGAATCGGCTTATTGTTGCCGATAATCGACAATCGATAATGTCTTTGGTCGATGATTAATACGAGTGTTTTCCTTTTATAAAATCGAGAAAAGTGCTATTTTTTAATTTGTTTAATACTTAATTTATTTATGGTTATAGGAAAATTTTACCTATTCTCAAACCGTTCTGCAAAAACTAGCTAAATTGTTTTGTAAGTCTAGCAGAGAGTTTACACAAATTTTAGCCTGGACAATTTTTTTTTCTAATTTCAAGTCTCTGTTTGAAGGAGTTAGAAGTGAGGGGAATGGTATATTGAAAAATTGATCGTACTAGCTTTTTGGTAATTTCTTTCTATAAACAACAATGCCAGAAAAATCAATGCTGACAAACGAAAATATGCTGAAAAATTGCCTTGTATAAATGGAAGAGGCTATTTCTAAAGGGAACGATAAATATTGCTATAAACTCACCTGAATCAGAAGTAATCCTGCTTTTAATTCATCATCCCTTACAATATTAGTCACATACAGCAGACGAAAATATATATATTTTCTCTTCCAAGATTATGTCTTGTTGCGTTTTGGTATCTCCGATAGTTTCATTAACAATTAATTCGATGTATCGCCAACCAACTTCTGTTACCATTTCATAGTGATTGACAGTTTTTCCACTCTCTTTCATGCTAACAATTCACAATAGTATTGTCAATTACTCTCCGCCTCAAAAAGAAATGTAAACAATAAACGATTGTGACCGAAAATTATTTTCTAAAAAAAATAAAATTTAGAATATCTAATTAAACATTAGTTGTTAACGAAACATTTGCACAAATATTAACTAGATTAGTTAAGCTCACAATGGTGGAGGAAACAACACAAACCAACAGGTCAAGGTCGAAAATGGCCCGTCCCAAGCCAGTATATTTGTGGACTGTAGTCGACGTTTTGAAGTGGTTTCGACGCGTAAACAGTGAATATTTGGATTATTTGGAACTGTTTTCCAAGGTAAAATAAATAGATTTCAGTGCAAATTCCTCATTTAAACTGCTTAATTTGTTCGCTAGCATGAAATCACTGGCAGAGCCTTGTTGCGCATCAACGACTCTTCACTGCAACGGATGGGTATAACGAATAACAAGGACCGTTTGGCAATTTGGAGAGAAATTGTCAAACAAAAACTCAAGACTGATATTATGGAAATTAGGGATATGGAACGTATTGTTAATCAACATTCTATGGCCAAAATTACACATCCGAAAGCCACGGCGGCGGCTGCCCAAAAGTAATTGATACTTGTTTTGGGAAAGAATTATTCTTTGGAACAACGAAGTACGTACATACATACATAGTAATGATTATTAGCGAACATACTCGAAAACAATCTCTACAAAAAGAAAATAACAACAACAACAAGTGAAACACTCAACAAACACAACACCAAGTGAGCGGGTTGTACAACAAACAAAAAAACAAACAAGTGCTGTAAATTAAGATAAATTTTAAGTTAGTAAATTAAATTAAATATACCAAAATGAATAACATTCATATTCTATGATATATATTATATACATACACACAAACATATTTAATCTTTAACTTTTTTGAATAAAATATCAAATATTCTTACATAAATTAAACTGCACTGTGTGTTTGGTTATGCAAATTGTTTGTATTGTTCTGTTCATTGTTATCTAAAACGGGGGAGCAGGGCAGAATATGTGAGCATGTTCAAGCAAAACGCTATAACTGACCTTACTCGACTAATTTTTGTATTTATTATGTTCGTGAAATATAGGTCTGGAGGAATGGAATTTTTATACTATAATTTACACCGATTTTTTGGTTCACATTTTTTTTGGAGATTGGTTTGATAAAAAATTCTAGACTGTAGGAATTTATTTTTTTGAATATTGATAAACTTATATCACCGATATGAGGGATCTTTGAAGATCAATTTCTTGATATAGTTGTGTTGAAACCCAAGTAACCTCAGGAGAAATCGATGGAAATTGGTTTTTTAAATGATATTACACGAGGCTTAACAAAATGTTGGTAAACACATAAAAAAAATCTTCTTAGTAGGTCCCTCAAATCCCGCTCTACACAAAAGTAGTTTTATAAAATAATGAAATTTTCGTTAAAGGAATTGAGATTTCACACCATTTTAGATGAAACCTCAACTGACTTTGTATCATAATTTCAAATGTATCAGAAGTAAAAATTACAGTCCACGTGCAATTTTTTCATATTTTTCTGGTAATGAAATACAGATTGGAAAAAAACATAGATTTCTTGTGACACTGTGAAACAAGCAAAGCGGGAATACTTTGATACTTCTTTTTAGAGAACAAAACAAGTAAAAAAAAAATTAAGTTCGGCAAGGCCGAACTTTTAATATCCTCCACCTTAGCGTAATGGAAACATTAGAACCAATTATGACCTTCAAATACCAATTTTTAGACATATTCATGAGAAAATGTGGCAAAAATCATCAAAATCCCGAATATCGGGAGGTACCGCTATATGGGGCTATACAAAACCGTGGACCTATACATACAATGTTTCGCCAATGGAGCTAGAACCCATTAGGACCTACAAATACCATTTTTTAAACAAATCCGCGAAGAGATGTGGCAAAAATCATCAAAATACCGAATATAAGGAGGTACCGTTATATGTGAGCTATACCAAAACGTAGACCTATACACACAATGTTTCACCACAGGAACTTGGACCCATTATGACCTACAAATACAAAATTCAGACAAATCCGTGAAAAACTGTGGCAAAAATCATCAAAATACCGAATATCGGGAGCTACCGTTATATGGGGACAACACCAAAACGTGGACCTATATGTCTTATTTTCAATACCAAAAATCCTAGACACAATACTAATAGTTCTGCAAAATTTTGACGCTCTACGTCAAATAATGTGGCCTGTATCATGATTTCAACAGACAGGCTGACAGACATACGGACATCGTTAAATCGACTTAGAATATTATGCTGATTATAAATATATATATACTTTATGGGGTCTACGACGAATATTTCGGAATGGAATGGCAAAGTTAATATACCCTCCTTTCCAACATGGAGGGTATAAAAATATTATCAACAGTTTTAGAATATTTTTAGTTTTAGAAAATGTATTTAATGGACCATTTAAATATTCAAAGATAATGATTTCTGCCAACAGGAACTCTATTGAATACATTTAAATTCATTACAAATTAATTGTTGAATCTTTTACCATATACTTATGCACCGGGGTCCCTCCGAAATGGTAAATTTGTATATAGTTTCTAAACATTTTTTTTTGAAAGAAACAGTTTTTGTAGTTGGACCTTTCCGAGATAGCTACGCCGATGTACCGATGAAATAGTAATGCTTTTCAAAACTAATCATTGCTTAGTTAGACTCAGACTCAGTGATGATAAATTCCATAATTCCATAGAAAATCCGTTTTTTACTCCCCTATACATCGCCAATAGTCTCAAATGTCGACACGATTGACAACACTGTTTACATTTTATTTCGGTTTTATATGAGTGATGCAACAAATTGGTACGAATGTCCAAAAACTCGTACTTTTGTACACTAACATTGTACTCTTTGGAGCATGAAAAATTAAGAAATTCGAAAATATAGACTTAAATAACTTGTTTTGAAATAAATATAAGAAATTAGTAAAAAGGTTTGCACATAAATGGGCTGTTATTGTGAATTGTCATGTATGCCAATAAAAACATAACCCCAAAATTCTTGTCTTTTGTTTTTAATATTGTCTAGAGATATTTTAAATACATATAAACGAGAATTACGGGTTTCTAGTAACTAATTTCACCCAAATTCATTTACCCCACATTTGTATAACGCAACCTCCATTTCGTACCCAATAGTTCAATAGTTGTACCACACAAAACATATGCCATCTCTGTTCGATACTTTTCTTCAATGTTCGCTTCTTTTGAGGTTCAGTTTACATTCAGCCTTCTTCGGAGCCAGCAAGTACGGATATACGCTACTACTAAATAGCTGGCGACTAATTAACCAAAAAAAATACTTAAAACAAGAAAAAATTCAAGTGTCTTAATTTCTTGAAAAAAATAATTCTCCAAACGATTTTTTATTGTGAAAAAATAGATTTTCGGATAATTTCTGAATTTTCGCAACATTTTTTCTTCTATTAATTCGTTTGGTTGTTGAGAGTGTGGAGTGGAGTGAGTGAGTGTGTGCGTTGTGAATTATAGTGTGTGCTCTGCCATCAATACGTTTTTGTGTACGTGGAAGCGAGAGGCATAGTTGCCGTGGTGGAAAAATGTAAGTATAGCCATCTCTTTTGCGCTTGTGGTATTTTCTAATGGGGGGACAGTTATTTATTTTTTCGGTGATGTTTAAACTTTTGTTTTTATTTAGTATTTCTTTCTTGATACAGCCAGGGTTGCCATGTCATGGGGATTGGTATTGTTTTGTGGGAAATGCTTGGCGGGGGTAAAACAGAAACGTACAAAAACAACAACATGCATGGGTAGTGTTATCAATTGTTGTAAACTTAAAAAGCCGCGTGTACAACAACAACAACAGCAAGAGAGCTGTTTTGATAAACGTTTAAAAATGAAATTCTATTTTCAACCCATTCAAGATATATATTTGTGTGTAAACAAATTGCATTGTTAATAAACAATAATGGAAAGTGCATTGAGTAAGATAATCATAATTTTGTCATATTGGATGTGGGGTTCTAATAAGTAACCGTTATTTATTTGAATACAAGCTCAAAGTGATGCGAATTTTGGGTGGTTAGTATTGGAAATTTAATAATTTAAATACCCATTTTATTGTGGTTTAATTATTTTAAGGTGACAACAAGTGCTGACCTTTGGATGAAGCCAATTTTAGTACCAACAAAACGGTATAGTTTGATAATTTGTAGATAAAAAATACTAATGAGAGATTATTGAGGTTTACTTAATATCTTTAGAAATGAAATAATTAAACTATTTTGAATTTAACGATTTTTACAAAGACAATCACCAAAAATATAGTTTGAAGATTCTCTGGCCCAATAAATAAAACAGAACAACAGTAAAATACCACACACTTTGGCTATGCGTTACCCTCAGTGTACGCCCCCCTTTAATTGATCAACAATACTATTTCTATAGAACAATGTCATTTTTATCTTGAAATACTTCTTAGTTTGCGTAAGCAGAGATGTCTCTGAAAGAGACCAGATAACAAGCAGCAGCAGCAGGTATGGGAGAAAACTCAGCTGATCTCTTCCGACCTGTCAAAGTGAAGTGTAATTGTGAAATTATCGTATAACTAGTAAACTGAACAATTTTTAATGTCAATCACAATAGTTTTTTTTTTAATGTGGACAACATCAGGGTGTTATAGTGAAATTTCAAAATCATACGAAATATCAAAATGTGTTTACGTTTTGGGTTTTAGGTTTGCTGTTAAAAGTAGTCTTCTTGGCGACAATGGTGACAAACAAGAGCAAGTAGTAAAACAAGAAAAAAATCTCCACCATTCGGAAAGAAGTTGAAAATTTTCAAAAAAAAAAAAAATCCGTCAAAAAAATACCGCGCAAATAAAAACCTTTATATGGGGGCTATACGAAGACGTGGTGCTGTATAAGAATTGTTTGTCATGGGCTATAGTAACGATTCCGAACTTTAAATACGAAATTCGATCAATTCCGGTGAATAATGACGCAGCAGAATTTCAGAGAATTCCATTGAAAAATGTGACTTTATATGGGGGCTATACGATATCGATACCGCCTGCAGACAAAAGACAGATCTGTGCAAAATTTTAGCTTCCTATCTTTATTCTTTTTTTTTAACAGATGGGCGGAAGGACATGGCTATATCGTCTTAGAATTTTACGCTGATCAAGAATATATATATACTTAAATGGGTCTACAATTATTATTTCAATGAGCTTCAAACGGAATGACGAACCATACTATGTATGGTGGGGGTTTTTGCACAGCGTGAATTTTGCACAGTGTTTCACCAGATTTTCAGAATCGAAATGTCAATTTTTTTTTTACGTGTTGCATGTTGTTATTGGAAATACAAAACACTGCTTATGTATATAATAACGAAATATATCATTGTGACTGAAATACTCTCATATTGTCATTTTATTCAATTCACTATTAATTCACAATAGAGTGCATTTTGACAATACGGAAGAGATCAGCTGGTTTTATTGTTTATCTAATAGGCCTTGCTTTGATTTTTCCGTAATATGATTCACTCACAATAATAATTTGACATCCCGTCTACATCTAGGACTTGATGAGGTAGTAGTTTTACACTATTGTGATTTGACTTTCTTTAGATGATTAGCTGTGGTACATGGAGTACCTATTTATTGTACCATTACATATCTACAGTGTGTTGGAGAACAGCTGTTTCAAATCAACTAATTGCAATATGCAAAGCAACAAATGCCAATTAGGCTTTTTTCCTTTTGCGCTTCTCACGGTGGGCAGCTAAGCGTTGAAATTTAGCTGAATGAAAACTTTTAGGGATGAAAATGGTATGAAGCGTACTCAATATTTTCCCTCATAAATAAGCATGCTTTTAACTAAAAAATTCGGTAAAAGTAGATCTAATAAAGAAAATGAATCAATAGTTTCTTTGAAAATGAGAAACGTTTTGGTGAGGCATTTTTTAAAAAGCAAGTTTTTTTTCCAGAAATTCAATTCCTTAAAAAATGTATCTAATTCAATTTCAAAGATCGTTCTCAACTTAATTGAATCGGTTTTGTTAGAAGAAACTTTTCCGAGATGCCTCAATATACCTTTTGCACTACTTCCCACCATCCTCTCACCACTCAATTCCACTCTCTCACGCTCCAGAGCAGCCAAACAACGAATCACTTTCTGTGATTTCAATTAATTTGCTATTGTAATTGAAACACATTTTTTGCGCCTTGACTTTGTTTTCTTTTCCACCATTAAAGCGTTTAAATTTGCATAATTTCCATAAATTCAACACACAACACAAAAAACACCAACAACTACAAGTTTAGAATGAACAGCAGAAACGAAAACCCAACAACAAGAAACGAGTTCTCGGTGGGGTTCAGTTTTGTTGTTATTGCCGATGTTTTTGGGTTTCGAATGCGGATGGATGTATGGATGTTTGGCTCTGTAAGTTTGTTCCGTTGTTTGTGTGTTGGATTGTGAGAAGGGAGAGAGAAAGAGAGACAGAGAGGAAATTCAAATGCCAAAAGCTTGGCTTGGTTTTCTTTTGAATGATGAGGAGATAGATGGGCATTTTGGATGATAGATAACTTTTATGGGAAAACGGAAGGGATTGTGTGTGTGTGTGTTTTTGGACTCAGGTAAATGTGTTACAACAACAATTAGCAAAACTTTGAATGACTTTGGTCTCAATGAGATTCCCTCGGCTAGAGGGGGAGGAGGAAATAAAGTGTGATATCATCATTGAAAACCTACCTTCCTTGCTTAACTTTGCAAGTCTCGTGCTAAAGTAAATTGATGAAAGTGCAATCTTGGACGAGCTGCTGCTGATTTTGGTTGTTTGCTTTTTTTTTCTCTCTTCTGCCTTTGTTGCAGTAAAAAACAACAACAAAAACAATAAACCCATGCCATTCATTGTTGGTGTTCAACCAACCCATCGTTGCTATATTCGTTTAATAACGCTTTTATTAAATAAATATTATGTGGCTGATAAACAACAAACACACACACCCCACTGGGCTATTGAAACGTGTGCGAATGTATGTATGTATGTGGGTATGTACACATGACCCGCCTGGTGTTAACAAGATTTCAAGTATTCGGTTGTGTGTTATCATCGTAGGTTGGCACGAACGATACAAATCACAATTTTATCGGAAATGATTTCATTCGTTGCAGGAATGTCAATGCAATGTGTCATGATTGAATGGAGAAGTGACGTGTTGTTTCCATATTGTCAATGCATTATCCTGCGGCTGGATTCGAGTTCTAAGAAAAAAAAAATGGAATGAAACAATTTCTAAACCCTACACCACAAAGTGGTCAGGGTATTATGTCTTTGTGCATTTGTATCAGGCAAGAGGAGACGAGATAGACCCATGGTTTCTTTTGATAATCTGCCTAGAATCAGATTCCGACTCGAGTTATGCATGTCCGTCTGTCCATGCATCTTTGTAAACAAAGCACAGGTCGCATTTATTGTCCGATCTAGATTTTACTCAAGGATGAACTCTATTGAAATTGGAGATAATCGGTCAAAATTTAGATGTAGCTTTCATATATATCTTCGTCCGATTTGCCTTTTATTATGCACCAATCGTGTAAAATCAGCCTAAATAATACTACCAAATTAAGCCATATATACGGTTTATCCGATTTGATATTTTGTCCTCCGCAGCCGTAAAAGGCATTCTGTAACAACTATATTTGGCAAAATATATCAAATACAGCTCGGAAAAACTTTTGCCAAATTTTATCGGGATCGGCTCGGATTTAGATATAGCTCCCAAATATATCTTCGTCCGATTTGCCTTTTATTGTGAACCAAACGTGTAATATTTGCCTAAATGGGATGAAATTTTGCATTTGTGACCAATTGAGCCTAGAAAGCCTACCAGGCTTATCGGCTGAAAATTCAATTCAATTTGGAATCTCTGAAAAAAGAAGGTAGGTCGTCCCATGGTACAATGAAGAGAAGGTAGGCCAAGTTTGAAAAAATTGCAAGTATAGAGGTCTACCTGTTTGGCTTGTAATGTCAGAATTAGTATCAAAACAATAAAAAAATCATACAACTTGTTGCATTTATTTTGAATAAATAATTGAAAACCGCGAAAACTGAATGAAAGGTCAACACTTCTTTTCAAAACCAGGTTCTATATATATATAAAGGATTATTTCGCTACAAAAACTCTAGATTTTGTCGATGCATGCTTTGAAATAAACATTTTGAAAATATCCGAATTTGAATGTTTCTTTTGTTATTGAAAAGAAAACGCATACATAAACAAAAAAAGATGACATATTAAGCCAAGAAAATGAAAAAATTGAAATCATATGGTATCATAGCCCTACCTTGATATCATTGTACCATGGGTCGTCCCATACCTTCCTTTCATTCGAAGACATTCATTTTAATTTGTTTATTTTCTCAATTACTTTCACACGCCATACATTCGGTTATAAATACCATCATTTTTGACAGCATTGTGCCATAGCAGAATATTACTAACATACATTCGTTGAAATAAACAAACAGACATACATACCTTGAACACAAACGCACCAATGGCTCCTATCAATTGTTCACACAATGACT